CTATACCTTGTGGCTAATAGCCACTGATGGACCTCTGCTCCATATGCTTATCTAATTCCCTTTTGAAGCCGTCCATGCTTGTAGCACCCACCACTTCCTGTGGCAGTGAATTCCATGTGTTAATCACTCTTTGGGTGAAGAAGTACTTCCTTTTATCCGTTCTAACCCGACCGCTCAGCAATTTCATGGAGTGCCCACGGGTTCTTGTATTGTGAGAAAGGGAGAAAAGTACCTCTTTCTCTACCTGCTCTTTCCCATGCATAATCTTATAAACCTCGATCATGTCACCCCTCAGTCGTCTTTTCTCCAAGCTAAAGAGCCCTAAGCGCTTTAACCTTTCCTCATAGGGAAAGTGTTCCAACCCTTTTATCATTCGAGTTGCTCTTTTCTGCACTTTTTCCAAAGCTATAATATCCTTTTTAAGGTGTGGTGACCAGAATTGCACACAGTATTCCAGATGAGGTCGCACCATTGATTTATATAGCGGCATTATGATATTGGCTGATCTGTTTACAATACCCTTCCTAATAATCCCCAGCATAGCATTGGCCTTCTTTATTGCAGTCACACACTGTCTCGACATTTTCAGTGAGTTATCCACTACAACTCCAAGATCTCTCTCTTGCTCAGTCTCTGCCAGTTCAGACCCCATCAATGTGTATTTATATTTAGGATTTTTGGCTCCAATGTGCATCACCTTGCACTTGGCCACATTGAACCCCATTTGCCATGTTGACGCCCACTTGCCCATCTTTGACAGATCCCTTTGGAGTGCCTCACAATCCTCACTGGTTTTCACCACCCTGAACAACTTTGTATCATCCGCAAATTTAGCCACTTCACTGCTTACTCCCAACTCCAAATCATTAATGAACAAGTTAAAAAGCAGTGGACCAAGTACTGATCCCTGTGGTACCCCACTGCTTACCCCCCTCCACTGGGAGAACTGCCCATTTATACTCACTCTCTGTTTTCTATTAATTAGCCAGTTTTTGATCCATAAAAGGACTTGTCCTTTTATCCCATGATTTTTGAGCTTACTTATGAGCCTTTGATGAGGAACTTTATCAAAAGCTTTCTGGAAGTCAAGGTAAATAATATCTATTGGATCCCCCTTGTCCACATGTTTGTTCACCCCCTCAAAGAACACTAATAGGTTAGTGAGACAAGATCTTCCCTTACAGAACCCATGTTGAGTCTGCCTCAATAGGTTTTGTTCATCTATGTGCCTACTAATTCTTTCCTTAATAATGGTTTCCACCAATTTACCCGGTATCGACGTCAGACTGACTGGCCTGTAATTTCCCGGATCTCCTCTGGAACCCTTTTTAAAGATGGGAGTGACATTAGGTACCTTCCAGTCCTCAGGAATGGAGGCAGATTTTAAGGAAAGACTACATATCTTTGTAAGGAGATCCACAAGTTCACATTTGAGTTCTTTCAGAACTCTCAGATGTATGCCATCTGGGCCTGGTGATTTATCAGTTTTTAAGTTGTCTATCAGTTTTATAATCCTCCTCTATATTTTGATCTGGTGGGCGATAACAAACTCCCAGTGTTAAGTTTCCTTTTGGGCCCCCTATTTCAACCCATAGAATTATATCCTCTGCTCATGGCAATCCTCTGCTCTTGACAATAGAACCTCTACAGGTGGCTTCCAATTTACAATTAAAACTACCAGTCTCATTTTGAAAGTAATAATCACCATAAAAGCAAAAAATGTAAACAGGTAGCAGGTGTTTGATGATATGAGCCCAGTAGCACTACAGAGAACAAGATGTTTGGGGTATAAGCTTTCACGAGTCAAAGATTCATCAACTTTGACTTTCGAAACATTATACCCTGAAAATCTTGTTCTCTGAGGAGCTACTGGACTCAAATCTAGCTTTCTTCTGGGTAGCTGGAAGAAAGTTTTGACAAGCAAAGAAACAGTAAAGAGGCCTAAAAATCAGTACCATCTAAAGTCGAAAGAAGTGAACCGAACGGTCACTCTGGGGAAGAGAAAAATAGTTGAGGAAAAACCTGGGAACGTAGGTATGTATTTATCTGGCACCAAAAACTAAGAAAGCTTGGCATTAAGTGGATAGCTGTAGTGAAGAAATTCCAAGATTAAGGCATGCAAGAGAGGATCCTGTCTCTACTCGCCAGCAACCACAAAGATGGGGGCATGTGGAGCAGAGCTTTCAAAGAACGGCTTAACAAACAAGCAGATTCAGATAGCATTGGGCACTCTTTTAATTACTCTGGGTCCCCAGACAATTTAGGGCTTACAGGTAATAACCAGAATGCCAAGTAATACTTGGAAGCAAAGTGACAGCCAATGTAGGTCCTATAAGGATGGCAAGATATATTCCTTAAGACTTTTCACTTTGAGAACAATAGTTTCATGGACAGCAGGTTGGAACAACACTAAAGAAGGGTCTACAGAAGTATTTCTTCTAAGCAAATTACTTTACTTGCTCAAGCTTTATTTTTAACGATCAGCAGTTTAAACAGTTCCTTATTGTAAAGTGGAGGAGCTCCACTAGCTACATGTACTCATTTTCCCAGTAAAAGATCCAGAACGTTACTGAGTTTCACAGTTAGGATACTTACCAGCCAAGAGAAGAATCCTGCTGACTTGTCCTGACTGGAGAGTTTTCCTTCGTATGGGCCAAAGATACGACCTTTGGGGATAACCTCATTCACACAGCGCACATCCCGCTCCCCATTGGGTTCTTTCACAACTTCCATGCCGGGAGGGACAGTCATTGCAGCTCGGTCAGGGATGCCAATGGGTACTGGAGCATCTGATACGAACACAGGTGGACCATGGTTTGGACATTCATCTACAAAGTACTCCTGGCAGGATTCACAGACTGAAGAAAGAAGAGTCAACAAAACAAAACTAGGAACTGCTCTGAAAAATCAAGTAATAAAACAGATGTCAACTAGTACACAGCCATGTTTTTTTCTGGCTTTGTTATGTTAAAGGTTCTTCTTTTGACTAAGGAGAGCTTCCCAGTTTAGGTAACCCAGGGTAGTCAGCTGCTTTACCTCTGTTGTTTCTATCTTTCAACAGCAAGCGAGAACAACCAGCTCCAGAGAGAACTGTTACAAGGGTAACTGACCCACTAGAACAGGGGAAAGTGGGCAAAACTGCCCCTCTTGCCAATTCTGCTACCACTCAGCACATCTACCTGTGCTGAATGGGTTTTCCTCCAAGTGAGTCATAAGAACATACGTCTGCAGTGCAGACCTTCAGTGCTGATTTTTTGAGGCTCATAGGAGACAAAAAGAGGTGGAAAAATTTTCTCCATCACCTCCTTCCAGTGGTGCTGCACAGAATTTAGCCCTACATTACTAAGTTATGCTGCATTTGATTCAAGTAGAGTGAAGCTTTGCTATTTCCTGGAAAATTAGTGCATATTTCTGTTGATGTTAACTAGCCTGTGTAGGAGGGAGTACAGAAAGTATATATTCCATGATCTGCTTTAAATTAAAAGACAAATCCACCAGACAAACCAGGGAGTAAAACAGACAGAACATTTTTCTCTGATATCTAAATCCATGCCAAGACCAAAGCTATGTCTTTTCATCAGTAGTTCTACTAAGTGTCTGTTCTGGAGTCTTTGCCCTCTACATTCACAATTGCAGCCAATGCTGTGTATCAATTCTTTGCTCAAGACATGTTGCCTGAAGCGTCCCTTTAATACTTCAAAAGAGGGAAACCCATTTGCCTCATTTACTGCTGACCAGGTGGTAGCCGTGGAGTTCTGACTAGCAGCTTTTTCCTTTCTAAGGACTGAAAGAGAACACTTCTAAAGAAATGAATATTGCATTCACTAATAATTATTATCGTATTGTATTGTGTGTATAATAGCCAGGAGATCCTAAGATTGTCCAGCAGTCAAAAGTTCTAGCTCTTTTAGCATTATGCACCACTAGGTGGCGAGCTAGACTTGTTTTTAAGGCAAGAGACATTTCAGAGGTGGGTTGCCATTGCCTGCCTCTGCATCACGACCCTGGTATTTCTTGGAGGCTGTCCTGTTTAGCTTCTGAGATCTAATGAGATCGGGCTAACCTGGGCTATCCGGATCAGGGCACTGCATTCAATAATGAGGTACTTACACCAAAAATCTACTTGCTGAAAGCTCTTGGACATCATCAAATCCTGCTTTCCTTTCATTTTCTTGGGCTCCATGTCCACAGACTGGGAATCAACCTTTCCTGAGCTGAAGAGAGTGCAGAGAAGAACATAAAATTACTTTAAAGAACAAGCTTATTTTTTAAAAAACATAGTGGACAAATTATTTGACTTTTGTCTGTCTGCCCTTAAATTTCTTCTGCCCTTACTTCTGAAAGAATTCAGGCCTCTGCAGGACTTTTACTGTGCAGGTAGCTCAATCAATGATCACCACACCAACCACAACTTTGGTAAGAGGATCTGAACAACTGTAACCCATGTCACTCGATTAAGTCTGTCTGTTCCCTTTTTTTGAGATGCTTGAAAGCCACTGTGAATAGCCAGAAGGTATTTTGCTACACTGCTAACCAGAAGGACTTTACTACTTGACTGTGGGCACGCAGTCAACTGACCACTCAAACTACCATTTTCTCAACCTGAACTCCTCTCTTTACAGATATACTCAGACACCTCTAGTCCCATCAGCATTACCTGGTGCTATGCAAAAATCAGAAGCATAGCCTAGAATACGTCCAAGAATACTCTGCAACATGCTAGAAGTTCCTTGACAGACAACTGAGCGTGGAACTGAGGAGGAGGTTTAAATCTACTAGCTTAGTGTGTCCTCTTACCAAAGCTGTCCATATTCTTCTTCCTGGTATGGTGAGCAGGGCTCTGTCTTGATAGTAACCATCTCCCCCATGGAAGCTTGGTTCTGGATCAAGCAGTCATTCAGTTTTTCACTCATGTTCTGTAAGGGAAACCAAAGCAGCTGGGGGAAAAAAGATTTTGGGAACATTGGCCTGGATCCCATGGAGGACTTCTGCAAAAGGGGTGGGGAATTTTTGTTGATTCCCTCCTTCTGTGGTAGTCCTCCAACAGCCCCCTCATGCTGTTCCTTGGTGCCCCCATCCTTAAGTAGAATTTCAGGGGGCAGGTGAGAAACTTGTGCTCAACAGATGGAAATCCTCTATAGAATCCAGACCATTAGCTGTCACTTCAAAACAGTTTCCCAAATAGCACTTTAGAAAAACTCTGATTTTTCACCTTATGGGGGAAGCACGCAAACCCTATGTTATCTGGCAACAAAAATCAGTTACTTTTTGGTGTCCAGAGCAGCATCCCTCTCCTCTCCAAGGCTCAAATGGCAAGCCAGCGGAGGGTTACTTTATAACTCCTCTGGCTGCTAAATTCAGCAATGGATTAAGAGGTTAGTTGGCATGATGCTGAATGATGATGGTGATGCCAGGTTGGTGGTGGGCATTCCTAGGAGCTTTAGGGGTGGGTCCAGGATGGAAATTACATCACATTTGGCCAAAACCCCAGATATGACACAAGTTCATTGGGCAACACTGCAGCTGTCCCCCCAAACTTGGGAGTTTTCAGGGATGCCAGAATGTTGCTCGGCACACTTACATCACATCCAGGTTTTCAGCTGGACATGACATCACACACTGTACAACATCATTTCTACCCATGGACCCTTCTCCCGCTAATCTGGTAAGCATGGCAGGCAAGGCAGGTCATAAATCTAAAATAATAAATAAATATAAGCACAGACAAGAGGGTGGGTTCACCAGCAGGAGCCCTCCCACCATAAGTGGACACTTGGGCAAACCTAATATCCCTTTTACCCTTGCACTCATTGGAAAGTGACACAGTAGGTTTGCCAGGCCCCCAGTGGGAACAAGGGATCCCCCACTCTGGGGAACCTCCCCCCCGGCACCAGTCAGCTGGCTGGCAGTAAACTTACTGGCAGCAAAAGGAGGCCTAGGTGTCATGCCCACCGTGCCGGCCACCGTGCCGCCCGACCCAATGGACCCTGATCCCGGGGACTCTGCACCTTCAACATCCAAAAATGAGCTCCCTGCACCCCTGGAAGTACAAAACCTAAGTCTTGCAGAGGATGAACACTGGCTACCAGAAGGGTTCACACCTGGAGCCGCTCCTGCAGAGCCGAGCACAAGCTCCACGCCCCCTGATTCCCCCCCACCTGTAGCTCGTTACGAGACCGAAGGAGACGGGACTTGACAACCCGGCGTAGGGAAGCACACATGCGTGGGAGGCGTCCTCTGAGTCCCGAGTATTGACTGGAGCCAGGACTCTGTAATCAGCCGGTAATTAGTGACAAGGGGAACGGGCTTTTAAGGCAGCTCTCTTCACTATCCAATTCGTGCTGGCAGCTGATCGCATAATTGAATCGCTGCACCTCGGACCTTGCATCCTGTTTTCCTGACTCTCTGCTTGACTCCCTCAGCTATTGACTCCGGATTGCGTGACATCGTTCTTCTGGCTCCCTGACCCTGGAATGTGTAACCTGACTCTGGACAACGGCTTTTGGCTTTACACCTCTGACTGCAAATCTCCGGTAAACCTTAGACTGTACAAGTGACCTGATATTTTGGACTGTGCTTTTGTTTCTTTGCCTCTCTGGTGCCCTGACCTCTGCCTGTGTTTTTGGATACTCCGTGCCTTGCCAAGCCCGCTCGCCAGGGCAATCGTGACACTAGGCCTCTGTTACCAGCAACATGGCAATGTCACTTCAGGCACACACAAAAAATGTCCCGGGACTCAGCCACGGCCCCCACCTCCTGTGATCCCCAGCACCTCCCTCTCCCAGTTGAGAGGACAAAGCAGCTGCCCAGGACCCACAAGCAGTGGGTCTATGGTAAAGATGACTTCTACCATCACATTTTTGCCCAGAGTGCCCCATGTTGCCAATAATGTAGGGCTACCAACCTCCATGTGGGGGCTGTATATCTCCTGGAAATAAAACTGATCTCCAGATGATGGAGATCAATTTCCCTGGAGAAAATGGCTGCTTTGGAGGATAGACTCTATGGCATTATACCCTGCTGAGGTCCCTTCCCTTCCCCAACCCTGCCCTCCCTAGGCTCTACCCCCAAATCTCCAGGGATTTCCCAAGCAGGATCTGGCAACCCTACTGGTGACATGATGCTATCACTTTCAGTGTGTGCTAGAAGTGCCAACGCTGCAATCACCAGCCTAGGCCTCTTTTTGCTCCTGGTAACCTCCCCCCGCCCTCACCCTGCTGGCTGCTGGGGGGACCTGGCACCATATCACACAGATTCCTTTCTGCTCTCACCATGCCTGAAATCTGCTTCAAAACTGGTAAAACCATCCAAGTCCATAAAAAGCAGGACACTACTATTTACATTGGAAATTGTAATGACTTCTGAAGCTTGGAAATTTTAGGAGATAAAACTAGTGCAGACAGCAGACCACGGCCCCTTCCTCTCCCAAGATCTAGTAGACAGCTTCAACTTATCAGAGGACTTGGTTTTGTTGAGGCCAAAATGTATATTTTACTAGTAACACAACCAGGGGTCATTTCATAGAAAAAGAGGTGCAGGAGCTCATTAGCATAACTCATTAGCATAACTTATTTGCATATGCCACACCCCCTGACATCACCGGAAATGTGTCAAAAGGCAACACCCACTGCTCAAGCTCCACTGGACTGTTTTGGATTGCTAGCTATGGGGGGGGGACGCACAGACCCTTGTGTTCCTCGTGGCCCAGGGCTGCTGGGAGCAGGGGTCAGGGCTTGTTGCATTTGCCCGCCCCCTGGGCTCTTTACTGCCGGAGCTCCGCTCCTGTGCGCTCCTGCAGGAAATGACCCCTGAACACAACTCAGGCAAGGACAAGAAACGACGTGTTGTGCAGTCTGCAGATAGATGAATGGATGGAGTACAATGTGCAATATATTATTAAATAATCAAGAGGCCAAATTTTAAATAATGCAATGAAATTTTCAGCAGACTGGCAATGGTTCCTGAGACTCAACTCAATTGGAGATAAACTCTGGAATTCTGGTGCATCAGCATCTGCAGCCTACACAGAGAAACCAAGGCCTGGCTAAGGGTTGCCTTACACTGAAAATGGAAAAACAAAATAGATAAGGCTTTTCCCATCAAGCATTATTGGCCCACATGAATGATCTACACCAAAACAATTTGTCAGAACTTCTGTCCCTCCTCTTGCTGAACTCGTTCTCATTTTATAACAAAGTATTTCTGATGTATTTTATCAGAATATATGCAGCAACAGAGGATTTAGATTACATGGATTAATGCAGAACTCTTCAAAACATTTTTCCTGCCATCATATATTCAATATTCATTCTGGCCCCACCATGACCAAAGTCACTGCTCAATGGGATCAACCAAAACTGGAGGTAATGGAGATATTTTTGTAAGCCTGGAAGAACCAGGACTGATTAAGTCCAGACTTTTATGAAAGGGAACATGAATTCCATAATGGCACTGAAAAAAGTGTTCAATGTGATTCTTTAAGGAACGTCCAGAAGCATTTCAATACTGAGATTTCAGATCATGGTGGACAGATTTTAAGGAAGTTTCAAATCAAATGATTTAAAATCATCCCCAAAATTAAGAGTTTGCACTAAATAGTTGCAATAACATTATTTGCATGTTACTAAATAAAACCTATATACTGTTTAGAAAACATCATCAAAAGCCTCTGATCATACAGCTCTCAAGCCTTTTGCAGCATATAATGATATAGCCACAAGGTATAGATAGGAACTCTAGGGCAAGTGATGCTCTGTATTCTTGGTGCTTGGGGGGGGGGGGGGCAAAAGGGGGAGAGCTTGTAGAGCTCCTAGTGTCCTGGCCCCACTGCTGGACCTCCTGATAGCACCTGGTATTTTTGGCCACTGTATATGTGCCATCCAATAAAACAATCTATAAATAAAGATAAAACATATTTACAAAATATTAAATTCCAATCCATAATATTGCACCCTAGCACAGGCATCACACTAAACCATAATCATTTGGCACCCAACAACCAACACCCCAGATTGTCAAGAAAACCACACAGCACTGCTAATAGGTGGTAGAAAACTGTTCTCAGAAAAAAGCCTGGTGGAACAACTCCATCTTACAGGACCTATGGAAGCTATTAGCCACAAGGTATAAATAGGGACTCCAGGGCAAGTGATGCTCTGTCTTTCTGGCGCTTAGGGGGGTCAACAGTGTGAGGGCTCCTAGTGTCCTGGCCGCACTACTGGACCTCCTGATATCACCTGGTATTTTTGGCCACTGTGTGACAGAGTGTTGGACTGGATGGGCTATTGGCCTGATCCAACATTGGTTTCTCTTATGTTCTTATGAAGCTAGAAAGATCCCACAGGGCCTGGATGTCAACTGGCAGAGAGTTCCACCAGCCAGGGACCACTATAGAAAAAGCTCTTGCCCTCACTGAGGACAGTCGAGCCACCTGTGGGCCAGGCACCACCAGCAGACCACAGGCAGAAGAACAAACCATTCTGGTTTGTAGGTAGGAAGGTCACAAACCATTTAGGGCTTTAAAAGTGAGAACCAACACTTGATTGGGAAACCAATAGGCAACCAGTACAGCTGCTTAAGTACAGGCTGAATATGGGATGACCATGTTGTATCAACAACTAGCAGCCACATTCTGTATAACCTGAAGTTTCTAAAGCAGCCTCAAGGGCAGCCCTGCGTACATGACCATGGCATGTATCACCATGGCCATGTCTGACTGAGACAGACGGAGGGGACAGCTGAGAAGTCCAGCAAAGATAGCCTGAGGACCACAGTTGGCTTACTGGTAAGAAACGGTCCTTTAGAGAAGTGAGTCTTAAGCCATGTGACCTAAGCCATGGGGGGACTTTAAAAATCATAACCAGCACCGTTAACTGGACTCCAAAACAAACCAGCAGCTGATATAGCTGTTTTA